AAACAGGAAATGATTTGCACGAGAGTTCTGAGGACATTGAGAGAGATCTTGAAGGCCTCTTTATGCAGAACTTTGAAGCTGAAATCGAGTATCTGGTAATATCGAGAACAATCCAAACGTTGAGAGCTGCAGCAATTGATCAAGTTACCCTCTTGGAAGAACAGAAGATATTAGCTACAGAACAAGCACAGATGGTGAAGAAGCTTGGTGATTCAGAAACGAAGACTGCAATGCTCAAGTCACAGGCTGAAAGTTTAGCAAATTACTGTGATGATGTGGCCAGCACTAATAAAACACGAGCGCTGCAGAAGGGAGTCTGCAAGTATAGTTCCTATTTTTTGATACAGTTGGTATTGCTGGTTATCGTCTTTGGACTGTATGTTTTGCAGATGTCACCTGATGCTGTTGAAGTTGTACCGACATAATTTTGAGAAGTGAGCCTTTTTCCTTTTTCTTGTATTTTCAACATAAAGCAACGATGAACGTTAATTAGGTCGTTTTAGTTGTTCATAGATAGAGGATACACCTACTTTCCATTTTGTCAAGTCGATGTTGAATTCAATGATAAATATAAACAATGATTTGGTGGCTCATAAGTTCTGAGTTTTGCTGATGTTGACCATCAGGTTGTTGTAGAGCTACCCGGCAGTGTTACTCCAACAAAGTAGACCTTGTTCTATTGATCTGAAGCATCCAGTAACGTTGTGCCAGTAGAAAGAGTTAAAGCTACGAAGCAAAGCTGTTAGTGGGATGCTCGGTATAAGCGATTTGCTGCTTCCACCATTAATTCCAGGCTTCACAATAACTCCTCCCCCCCCCCCCCCCCCCCCCTCCCCATTTTTTTTAAGAAATTCTTTTTATTCCTGCTTAGGGTGAAGCAACGCTCGAAGTTTAGCTGATGTTTCGTTGGCAGTAGTGAAGAAAATAATCTCCACGTAAAATTTAACATTGTCTATTGATCAAGTAATGTTGCATTAGACCATGTTTCAAGTGTCCATGAATTTAAGTTATATACAGTAATAACGTAAATATTCTTTGACACGATCAATGTACTTTAACCTATAGTAACAGGTTAGTTACTATTTTTATCAAATTATCTAGTGATGTTTGTCATAGAAATTTATCTATGATTAACTTACAACCCAATTGTTTAAAAAATCTTACTGTGTAAATGTTAATGGAAAGTGAAGAGATTATGTTTGGGGCAAGAATATGTAATCCAAGAAGAACCAATGAAACAAAGCCAACTCACCATCCAAAATCTTTCTTTGCCTCATTCCCACCCTCACAAAATCTTTCTTTGCCTCATTCCCACCCTCACAAAATCTATCTCTTTTCTCCCAAAGCCTTTCCTAGAGTATAACCTCATCTTTAACTTTTCCAATTTCCAATATCCACTGATATATCCAATTAAAGATCAATTCCTCTTCTCCAAAGAACACTTTGCTGTAATCATGGCTTCTGCTTTGTTCTCTGCACCAACATTCCAAGGTCTTAGACCCCTCAACAAACCAACTGACACTTGTCTTTTCCTCAACAATAAGGTCACTTCCTACAAACCAATGAAGAAAAGATGCAATCTTGGTGTGAAATCTGAGCTCAACACATCACTTGTTATCAGCCTGAGCACAGGACTATCACTTTTCTTGGGAAGATTTGTTTTCTTCAATTTTCAGAGAGAGAATGTGGCCAAACAAGGGCTGCCTGAGCAAAATGGAGTGAGCCATTTTGAAGCTGGTGATTCTAGAGCCAAAGAATATGTTAGTTTGCTAAAATCTAATGATCCTGTTGGTTTCAACATTGTTGATGTTCTTGCTTGGGGCTCAATTGGTCATATTGTTGCTTATTATATTCTTGCCACATCTAGTAATGGATATGATCCTAAGTTCTTTGGTTGAAAGACAAAAGAGTCTTCTTGTTGATTTGTACTCTTCCATTGACATGTCTTTGTTTGTAATGCAGTAACTTAAGTTGCATACTCTCATATATAAATGTTGCTTTATTTGATAATGATCTTTCTTGTGTGATTTACTTTTCAATTTGAGAGAGATAATCATTCTTCTTTTCTTTTTCTTGTTATTTGGTTTGATCCGCACAAAGTATCATATAATTTTAAGAATTACTTATAATAGATTCGACAATAAAAATAAAAATTAGATAACCTTACACAAAGTCGAATTTAGCGTATTTATTTTATTGTTTCGATGATTTGCCCCTATTTAAAATATCAGAGAGTGCTTGTCGAAAAAATTCGAAAATATTATAGATATTTCTTATCAACTATGAAAGACAAAATTTAACATTAAACAGTAGGAAAGCTCCATCAAATTCTAAAATATGCAATGAAAAAATGGCATTAGACACAAAAATTTACTAAAAATAGAAGAAATAACAACTTTAAAAAATTACATCACACTCTAAAAATATACCAAAATAACAGAAACTACAAAAATATTACCGTTAGATGTGAGTTCCCGCAAAATTCCTTCTTTTTATAGGTCTAATCAAATCTAAGAGATAAAGTTCCTTAAATATTTGCCTTTGAGACCAAAAGTGTTAAATTCTGGCAAATATGATTGGGCTAAAAGTACTCAGAGCATACTTAAGGGGACTACTTTGAACCTATACCCAAACATAAGGGACCGTTTTTGTCATTTTCTGCTGACTCATACATCTCATAAAATTTATACGAGGTACTATAAGCTTTTAGAATAAAGTGTTAATAATCTTCATTTCCGCCTCCGTCGGCTATGAGAAACCATCTCCGCCCCCTTCCGACGAACGGACCTTCAATTTCAAAGGTATCTACCTATTCGCCCTTCACTCCGATTTTTTTGTTTGATTTTAGATATCTATTTAAATAATCTGTTGATATTCGAATTATAAGGAAGATATATATAATATATTGAGGCATTGAATATTTTAGGATTCCCGGACTCGATGTTTGCTTGTATAGCTTTTGCTCAATTTCATGGAAAGTTTGCTCCTTTTGTTCCTCTCAAATTCTGAATTGTGCGCCGTTTTTTTTTTGTATAGTATTTACTGTTTTTATGGTGCAAATAGTAGTGTCGAGTTCGCATTATTGTTCAGATTTTATGATTTTGAGTTTGTAATTAGTTGTGTCGATAATTTTAGTAGAGCATAGTTGTTGGGAGAATGCATTGATTCTTCTGAAACCTAAGTATATATGTGATTTATGAATTTTTGTACTTATCCTCTTCATCTGGTTGTTTTTAAAGAAAAAAAGAAAATGCATATTTAGGTGTATTGAGAACATAAAGTGTCACAAAACTGACTGTAAGTTTTTAAAAAAACCGAAGCTACTGAAGACATTTGTCATTTTGTTAGTGTTTAACTTAGCAAAAACCTATCAAAAGATAAATGAATTGAATAATTGGTTTTAGGAAAATTGCTAGCTGTTTTGATTTTCTGAAAACGTTCTTAGAGTTTAGGACGATAATTTGCAAAGGCTATTAAATTTTAAGTATCATCTTTTATACATTGGAATTCCAATATCCCTAATATATCCAATTAAACATCAGTTCTCTAAGAACAGAGTTGATGTTCTTGCTTGGGGCTCTATTGGCCATATTGTTGCTTATTATGTTCTTGCCACTTCTAGAAATGGATATGATCTTAAGTTCTTCGGTTGAAAGAGAAAATAGTCTTCTTGTTGATTTGTACTCTTCAATTGACATGGCCTTATTTGTTTTGCAGTAGCTTAAGCTTGTATATTGGCAAAGAATTATTAGTACTACATTTTTCATTTCTTTGTTCATCCATGGTTTCAATATATTTATGTTATTTTAGTTCAAATTTGAGGTTTACGATTAGTTTAGAAGTATAGTCCCAAACTATAGTAGTATTTATTATACAGTTGTCCATATATTTCAACAGAAAACGAATACTCCCTCGGTTACAATTTATGTGATATGGTTTCAGGTTTGAGTCGACACGGAGTTTAAGGGAAAAAAAAGAAGAAAACTTTTGAAACTTGTAGTCTTAAACATGTTATAGTATTAGTGTGGCTATAAGACATTTGAAATTTGTGGTCAACACCTTCTGTTTGTACCTGCAAATGGTATAGGAGTTCAATTTTCCATCGGTAAACTCCTTTCTCTCATGTTATTAGTTTTGTACCGGTTATTGGTTAATAGAATTTGATGGGGGCGCGTTTCGTACGAGGAAAAATGACTTCCTGGAAAATGTTTCCATGAGTAAATCATTTTATGGTATTTGGTAATGACGGACGCCATTTTTATGGTATTTTCCATCAAAAGGAGGAAAATGACTTGTCTGATCGCTAATAGCCGGAAGTCATTTTCCTTACAACTATTTTAATTTTTATCTTCATATTACTTCCATACAACAACTCCTATTGCTGCATTTGCTATATAACAGGCATGGCAAATGCAGCATTAATAGAGGCGGAGCTAGCATGTATTATAAGGGTTCACGTGAACTCCATAGCTTTTGTTGATGAAAACAGATATGATTTACATAAGCAAAAAGATCTCTATTCATATTATTTATAAGAATGCTTTATTGGGAACCTATATAACATAAACGATAAAATAACGAAGAAGAGAATCTCTAATAGAGCACAACTCTTTGACAACCTCCTTTATATTTTTTCTTTCACTTGTATCATACATTGAACAACAACTCCAACTCCAAATAAGGAGACTAAACCCCTCACAGTTTTGTGCCTTCTCATGAAGCCTGGAATGAGAGCTCTGATCTTTGCTTATGATCATTTCCTTTTCCAAAACTAAGAACGGGTTCTACTATTTCAAGTGCTCCCTCACCATCAGGTATGGCATTCTTGACTAAATCATGAAGGTTTAATTCACCGCCGAACATGCTATCTGTAGGCCCTTTTTCCGTGAACATTTCTAGTAAGAGAATACCAAAACTATACACATCGCCATGCTTTGATGGCTTTGTTATCAAAGGAGAAAAATGCAAAAAAACCCTAAGATCTGTTGGGGCTTTAAGCGTAAAGCGAAAATAAAGCGTGGGCTTCAATAAGAAAGATGCAAATGGAGAAAAATTACAAATTTGTATGAGTAATCCAAGAGTAATTTCTATAAGCACGGATACCAAATATATGGACAGAAATTGAAGAAAATTTACGATAAAGTGAAACAACAATTGTTTAGTGTCACCTTTTTAGGATTATGCTCATTTTCAAGGAAAAGTATGTCTTAGAGCCTTGATGACAACACTAAAGTGCCCGCTCAACATGTTTTGAGCCTCGCTTCAGGGCTTAAGCGCGCCTTTGATAACATTATTTGATGGCTTGCTTCCCATCCCATACTCTACAATGGAAATATATATCACAAATCATTAGACTATCATTAGAATTATTATGGAACATGATCATGTATTATGAAATTACCTGGAGCTGTGTAGCCGATAGATCCTTTAACAGTTGTAGAGCTTGTCTGAATTTCAGGTGTTGTTTTATTAGTCAGTAGTAGGAAACGTGCCAATCAAAAATCACCAACATGGGCAACCAATTCATCGTCGAGGAGAACGTTGCTCGGTTTGAGATCACAATGAACTATTGGTATCTGACAATCATTATGAAGATAATGGATTGCACCAGCAACATCAATAGCAATATTGAGCCGTTGCAGAAACCCCAACCTTATAATTGACTGACCATCTGCTCTTGAATAATCTGGATGCAGCCAGTCCTCCAAACTTCCATTGGCCATAAGCTCATAAACCAGAGCCTTGAAGTCATTTCCACGATAATCAACACCAGAACATGCAGTGACTAGCTTGACTAAATTACGATGTCTAACATTTCAGGGCCTCACATTCTGCTCTGAAACTTTTGATGCTGTGAATGATTCAACACTTTTATAGCAACATTTTTACCTTCATCCGTTTCAACAATTCCCTTATAAACATCCATGACTCCCAACACCAATCAAGTTGTTCGTGGAAAACCCATTGGTAACTTTGAGAATACTTTGGTAGGACATAGATAGGAGTTGGTTTAGATATTTATGTAAAGAAGGAAATGTCTGTTTGGTCCTTTGGAACCGATAGAGGAGAAGGGAAAACCAACCATAACAACTAGCCCCAAAATCCCCAATATCACAGAGATTATGACAAGCTTAAAGTTAAGCTTGTTTGAATGACTGAAGTAATTCCATGACAAGATTAAATATTGTAGCTTATAAAGCTTTCCAATAGTCGGTGGAATGATACCTGTGAGTTGGTTGCTGCTCAGCCTAAGTTCTTCCAGGTTAACAAATTTCCCAATCTCTATCGGGATATGTCCAGAAAATCGATTGCTTGACAAGTCGACAAAGGCTAGATTATCCGAGAGGTTTCTGAAAAACTCATGAAATCTCCCTCCAATTGCATTGTTCTGCAGATACAGACGTTTCAGGTTAGTTGCATTTGTTTAGGAAGAAATGAAGCTTAAGTCATCAGGTTTGCCTATCTGTCATATTATTGTGATATTCAGTAGTAGTATATGGTTTTTAGGGAGAATTCAGTGTGAAAAGCAACAGGAGAAGAAATATCCCATCAAGATAAAAGGCCATGGTTTTTGATACATTCTGTAGAGCTTCTTAAATGCTCTATTATTTGAAGGTGATAAACTCTCCACAGCATATATATATAGGTCATAAGCTGTTTATTTTTTGATAAATAAAATTTTTGACATAGTGTAAGTACTTCTAAGAAGGGGAGCCTTGGCGTAACTGGTTAAGTTGCTACCATGTGACCAGGAGGTCACGAGTTCGAGCCGTAGAAACAACCTCTTGCAGAAATGCAGGGTAAGGCTGCATACAATATAGACCCTTATGATTCGGCCCTTCTCCAGACCCCGTGCATAGTGAGAGTTTACTGCATCGGGCTGCCTTTTTTTTTTTTTTTGGAAGTTGATCCAAAAGGGTTTTCAAAGTTGAATTGAAAATAGGAGGCCTCAAATTCATCACTCTATCCTGCAATTGATATTTTGCTTCTAACACTGGATACTAGAATTTTTAATAAGGAGATTTAAAATAGAAAGAACTAAATAGTGAAGAAACAAGATAGACTCAATATCTACTAGTACATATACATAAATTAAAAAATTGACCTTGTATATACAGTGTAATTTTTCGAAGTTGCACCCCTGGTTTCGCCCTTGAATGTTGGGTGGGGAGAGAAGGAAGAATCTGGTTTCGAGACTGTTCGTTTGGACATATTTTTATTACAAGTAATTCATTTCAAATCATGTGTTAGGACTTTTTTGTTGGCTCATACTATGAAAGTAAGATAATATTGTTGAACTATAGAATATGACTCCTCGTTGAAAAAGAAGAAGAATATAACTCGTTATTTCCAAATTATTGTTGGCTTTCACGTCTACGAGATCAGTTTACGTAATATTGACAAATTATTTTAAAATAAATGAATTGTAGTACCTTTGGTTTAATGCTTTTATGTTTGTACATCAGTATTTATGGAAAGAAGAATCTGTTTTTACTTCCTTACAAGTTTTATTTTCTTCAATTGATTCTCCAAAGAAAGCGTTTGGACATAACAAATGTTTGATTTGAGAAATAATAATTTTTAAAGTTAAGTTTAAAAATGATATAGAAAATTGAGTCACACGAAGATGAAAAGTATACAAAACATTTTAGGTTAAGGGATCGTTTGGTTAAGAAACAAGTTATCTCATGATTAATTATCTTGGGATTAGTTATCCCATCCTCCGTAGGAATAAAAAAATACTATAGTTTTGGAATAATTAATTCCGAAATTAGTTATATCACGATTTTATTTCAACTAAATATGGAATAAATTTATCTTAAATTTAATTCTAAAATTAATTATCCCTTATTCCTTATACCAAACTAGCCCCAAATGTTAATATTTAGAAGTCTAAAATAAACAGGGACAACTTTTCAGACTCAAATTCTTCGAAAATGTTTGGGGCCAGAATCTGTGATCCAAGAAGAACCAATGAAGAAAAGCCACCTCACCATCCAAAATCTTTCTTTACCTCATTCTTATCCTAACAAAATCTATTTCTTTTCTCCCAAAGCCTTTCCTAGAGTATAAACCTCATCTTCCAACTTTTCCAATATCCACTTATATATCCAATTAAAGATCAATTCCCTGTATCCCCCTTCTCCAAAAAAAAAACTCTGCTGTAATTAATAATTATGGCTTCTACTTTGTTCTCTGCACCAACATTTCAAGGTCTAAGACCTCTTAACAAACCAACTGATTCTTGTGTTATTCTCAACAATAAGGCCAATTCCTACAAACCCATGAAGAAAAGATGCAATCTTGGTGTTAAAGCTGAGCTCAACACATCTCTTGTTATTAGCTTGAGCACAGGACTATCACTTTTCTTGGGAAGATTTGTTTTCTTCAATTTCCAAAGAGAGAATGTGGCCAAACAAGGGTTGCCTAAGCAAAATGGAATTAGCCATTTTGAAGCTGGTGATTCCAGAGCCAAAGAATATGTTAGTTTGCTAAAATCTAATGATCCTGTTGGTTTCAACATTGTTGATGTTCTTGCTTGGGGCTCAATTGGTCATATTGTTGCTTATTATATTCTTGCCACTTCTAGCAATGGATATGATCCTAAGTTCTTTGGTTGAAAGAGAAAAGAGCCTTCTTGTTGATTTCTCTTTCCTTGTTTGTAATGCAGTAGCTTATGCTTGTATAGTGGTAAATTATGAGTAAAACCTTCATTTCTTTGTTCATGGTTCAATTTGAGGCTTTAATTTCAATTCCCTAATTTGAAGGGGAGCCATGGAACAATGATAAAGTTGTCTCCATGTGACCTATATGTCACAGGTTCGAGCGTGAAAACAATCACTAATACTTGCATTAGAGTATGCAGACTACATCACATAACTTTGGGTATAGCCGAACCTCTTGTGTGAACGAGGATGCCTTATGTAATAGACTGCTTTTCTTTAATTTGAAGTTTATGATTAGTTGAGGACTAATAAGTGATTGAAATAATTCCAAATATTTGAAAAAATATTTTAATTCAGGTTCAATCATATGTATGTTTATTATAATTGTTAATTTAGATGTATATTTAATTTAGATCTTGTGTTAGCAGTGTCGATACTAAAAAAGTGAACAAATAATTCCNTCGAGTTTAGTTTTTGTAAAATGTATTTATGATCGTATTAGGTTTGATCCAATTGATGTACCATCTTCTTACTGCATCAGGTTCATTTGGATGGTATTTGTGAGTTGTTATTTGTCGAATTGATGAATTCAGTTAGCTTCCAATCCAGATATGAAGAGTGAAAGATGAAGACGAGAGAAGAAGAATTGAGAAAATGGAAATATTACTATTCCATTGAGAAAGTATACTGTACAACACCTACAACTTCCCAACTAACATATATTTATACTAACTAATCTCTAACTCAACTATAGCTACTAGTATGTACTCTAGTTAGCTAGCTATGTTTGATAAATAACAACTAACTAGCACTGCCCCGTATCAATACATTTCTCAACACCCCCCCTCAAGCTAGGTCTAAGGAAAATGTTCTTTAGGCCTAGCTTGGATAACAAATGGTCATCCTGAATACAACTTAACCCCTTCGTCAATAGATCAGTTGGTTGCTCAGCAGAGGGCAGATACGCAGTCTCAACCAATCCCTGTTGTACCTTCTCAAGAATGAAATGACAATCAATATCAATGTGCTTGGTGCGTCGTGGAATATTGGATTCACAGCAATTTGCATTGCAGATTTACTGTCACAATAGAGTGGAATAGGCAAAGTGAGAGAGACTCCTAACTCATTGAACAGACCAACCAACCATACTATCTCTGCCACAGTCGACGCCAGACTCCTATACTCTGCTTCAACTGAACTACGAGAGATAGTATTTTGCTTCTTGGATTTCCAGGATATGAGAGAATACCAAGTGTGACCATATAGCCAAGTCACTGACTTCCTCGTGTTTGGGCAAGAAGCCTAATCAGCATCACAATAAGCTTGCAACTTGGTAGAACCATTAGATGACATAAGGATCCCCAGACCAGGATTCTTTTTCAAGTTTCTGATTACTCTTAAGGCAGCCTCAAGGTGCGATGTCTTAGGAGCATGCATGAATTGGCTCAAACATTGCACAGCAAATGAAATATCCGGCCTAGTAATAGTTAGGTAGAGTAACCTACCAATCAACCTTTGATAAGCTCCAGGATCAGCAAGTAAAATATTATTGGTAAGTCCAAATTGATGATCAAATTCAGCTGTAGTTAACTTCTGATTCACCTCAACAGGTGCCCCTACAGGTTTTGCCCCTGCCAAGCCAGCATCAGAGATAAGCTCGAGAGAATACTTCCTCTGATGTAACAGAATCCCTTCCTTACTCATCGCAAACTCAATGCCCAAAAAGTACTTGAGCTCCCCCAAGTCTTTGATTTTGAAGTTTTGATGAAGTGCAACTTTGGTGTCTGATATAAGAGCATCATCATCTCCAGTGATGAGCAAGTCATCCACATACACTAGGATGATGACTATCTTCCCATTGATGTGTTTAATAAACAAAGAGTAATCAAGATGGCTTTGTTTGAAATCTGACTGAAGAAGAGTAGTAGTTAGCTTAATATTCCATTGACGGGAAGCTTGCTTATGCCCATAAAGAGACTTATGTAGTCGACAGACTTGAGTCTTTCCTGCTGAATGTGAGAAACCTTGAGGTAGATCCATATAGACTTCCTCTTCCAAATCTCCTTGCAAGAAAGCATTATATACATCCATTTGATGCAAAACCCAACCTTTTGTAGCTGCAATAACAATCACAGACCTAACTGTGACCATTTTCACTACATGTGAGAATGTTTCTTGATAATCCAAGCCTTCCTTCTGACTATACCCTTTTGCCACCAAGCGAGCCTTGAATCTTTCTATATCTCCAGAAGCTGTGTATTTGATCTTGTAGACCCATTTACAACCAATTGCCTTCTTGCCATGAGGTAGTGTTACTACTTCCCATGTGTGATTATCTTCTAGAGCTTGAATCTCTGCTTTCATAGCTTCAATCCACCTCATATCTTTGGCTGCTTCATAAAAGGATGTCGGTTCAGTCTCTGAAGAAACCTTAGCAACATAGGCTTGATATTTGGCTGAAAGGCTATCATAATGTATGACATCACTGATTGGATACAAACAATGACTTGCAGAACTTGACCTTCCTTGAGGTCTAATGTAGTCTTTGAGCCAAATAGGGGGTTTAGTGGTCCTACCAGACCTTCTCTGATCACAAGCAATGAGTGGTCCACTTTGTCTAATATTAGATGGCACATAAGCCTCTTCTTCAACAACTTGTGCATGTATCTCTGGAACAACAGTTGCACTTTCTTCTGCATTGCTGGGAATAAAGGATGAAGTTGCATGCATTTCATGTGCAAGAGCATCAGCTGTTGTGTCAATGTGAGTGTTGCCAAGCTCCTCAACACCCCTGCTATCAATAGGTGACAATAGACAATCATTATTGATTATGGAAGTTGATTGAGAGTGCACTCTGAAATCTTCAGCATTATATTGGAAAGGATACACATCTTCATGGAAGACTATATCCCTGCTCACAAATATAGACCTCTGCTCAATGTTGTATAACTTGTAGCCCTTTTGTGTAGGAGCATACCCCAAAAATACAGACCTTATTGCATGAGGACCAAACTTGTCTCCTTTCACTAAATTAGTAGCAAAGCATAGACATCCTAGAACCCTCATGTGATATATAGAAGTTTATCTGCCAAACGATACTTCAAATGGTGATATGTTGTGCAAAACAGTGGAGGGTATCCTATTGATGATGTACACTGCTGCCTCCACACATTCCCCCCAGAATCGAATAGGCAAATGACCTTGAAACCTTATAGCCCTTGTTGTCTCCAATATATGTCTATGTCTTCGTTCCACCACTCCATTTTGTTGTGGAGTGTATGGATAAGAGCTTTGATGCACAATGTCATGCACTGAGAATAACTCATTGCAACTCTGATTAAAGAACTCTGTCCCATTATCAGATCTAAAGCATTTTATCATCTTCCCAAACTGTGTCTTGACCATAATAATGAAGTGCTTGAGTAATGCAATTACATCAGATTTAAGATGCAATAAAAAAAACCATGTCCATCTGGAGCAATCATCTACAATTGTGAAAAAAAACCTTTTTCCATTATGAGTTAAGGCTTTGTAAGGACAGTAAATCAAAACAATCTACTGCTCTAGTAGTACTTATGGGAAATGGAATCCTAGCTTGTCTTGCCAATGGACAAATGTCACAATGGCTTATTTTAGTACTATCACTACTAGTGAAATTAGGTAACTTCTTAATGACTGGAAACGAAACATGTCCCATTCTCTTATGCCACAGTTCAGTATCAGCTTTTACTACTGCAAAAGACTTAGCTGGACTCTTTAATCTTCTTTGTGTATGAAGCACATAGAGCTCCCCTTCCTTCTTACCAATCTCATTCACCTTCCCAGTGAAGAGATCCTGTAAAATACAGAAATCATGATAGAAAGCAGCACAACACTTAAGGGCCTTTGTCAATTAAGACACAGACAGTAGGTTAAACTTGAATGCTGGCACACATAAGATACCTGTAATAGTTTCTTCTCCATTCAGTTGGCAACTTCCAACATGAGACACTTTGGCTGAATCACCTGTAGGAAGCTGGACATTACCTGCATTTCCTGTTATCACTTTGTCATGCAAAATGTCTTGGTTACCAACCATGTGATTAATGTCTCCAGTATCCACAATCCACTTTTCATCAAAATGTTGAACATAGGAAACATTACCTGCCATATGTGCAGAAGCAGGAGTCTCTGAGACATGTGTTTTATTCAGCATAGTAAGGATTTGTTGATATTGCTCAGATGTAAAAGCTGGTGCTGGTGCATATTGATGGTGCCCTAGCTGCTGTCCTTGTCCAGGTCCTTATTGACCATAACTCTGTGATTTAATTGACATTCCATCTGATGGAGCATAAACACCTTGACTTGGAACACTGCTGGTCATATTTGCCTTCCTCTTTGGCTTAAAATCTGCAGGGTACCCATTCAACTTGTAGCAATTTGTCTTCAAATGCGCTTTCATGTTGCAATATTCACACCTTAATAACTTATAACAGTTATCTCTTGTATGTCTTTCATATTACAATAGTCACACTCCAAATTGTAGTTTTTCTTCATCTTTTGCCCCAATTTTGATGAGTACAAGGCTGTGGGATCTGATGAATCAGGAACATATGAACTATTACCAGCCACAATTTTCTGACTTTCATCTTGTAAAATTATTGCATATGCTTGATTAACAGTGGGGATTTTAGACTCCATAAGAATTTGACTACGTGCTTGACTGTAACTATCATTAAGTCCCATCAGAAATTGCCATAGTCGCTGATATTGTTGGTGATCTACAAACTTTTTAGACTTATCACAACAGGTAGGAAGTGGCATTATTGAGTCATATTCATCCTAGAGATCCTTCAGTTTAGAGTAATATACAGAAACACTAGTCATTTCTTGAGTCAATGTGAAGATTTCTCTGTGAAGATAATACATGCGTGAAGCATTCACCTTATCAAAACGCTCATGCAGATTAGCCCAAATCGCACATGCATTTGAGCGAAACAGAACACCACACAACAAATCACGACTAACATTATGCATAATCCATGATTTCACTATAGCATTACATCGATCCCAGAGATTAGCATACTTATCTCCATAAGTGTCGCGATTGATGGTTCCATCAATAAATCCCAGCTTGTTGCGAGTCAACAGTGAAACCCTCATAGCTTGGCTTTACATAGTGTAATTCTCCATTTCGATCAACTGAAAACCTAATGACAACGCTCCAGGTGTATCGGATGGATGCAAATACAGAGGATGATTGTGATCAATCACAATCTAGCTTTGATCGACAACTTTATCAACTGCCATTGGAGAAAATTAGGTTTTTGAACCAAAACAGAGAACAAAACAAAATATCGATTTATCTCTTGTTATTCAGCAAATTCACAATGAAGAACCCTAGATTTGATCGATTATTTGCTCTGATACCATGTCGAATTGATGAATTCAGTTAGCTCCCAATCCAGATCTGAAGAGTAAAAGATGAAGACGAGAGAAGAAGAACTGAGAAAATGGAAATATTACTATTCCATTGAGAAAGTATAATGTACAACACCTACAACTTCCCAACTAACATATATTTATACTAACTAATCTCTAACTCAACTATAGTTACTAGTATGTACTCTAGTTAGCTAGCTATGGTTGATAAATAACAACTAACTAGCACTGCCCTGTATCAATACATTTCTCAACATTATCCCTTTCTTCGTCGATATGTGTACGATCCAAATTCATCTACAGGGGTTATGATGGCACCACGAGCGAAGCCACCTTTTGCAAAGAGTGGTCAATTGACCATTCTTCGTCAAAATATTACGAAAAATTACACTGTGTATATAAGAAAAATATTGATTTTAGATGTATAAAACATATATTGAATACCATTTATTGGAATTTTTTTTACTTCTTTCAAGTCTGAACACCCTTGAAAATATTTCTGGCTCCGTCACTGGATGCCATCTAGTTTCTAAAACTAGGTAAGTCGATCACTTAACAATATTTAAAACAATAAAAACATGATATAACGAAACAAAGTTTAACATAAATGCGGAAATAAAAGTAATACAAGCCAAACCACAATACTCAACATAACTCTCTAGAACTAGGTAGTACAGAGTGACAAGCTCTAGCTGAATGTATAGGAACATCTCAAATACACAATACTATTTGAAAAATATAATGATAGTATAAATAAAAAAGAAAATGACTTCAAAGGACTATGACGGTCAATCCAACTATCTTGAATCCTCACGATCTATGTAGCTCTCACTACCTAGGCTACCTCCAACACCTGGATTTACACAAAAATGTGCAGAAATATAGTATGAGTATACCACAGTCAGTACCAAGTAAGTATCTAGACTAACCTCGGTGAAGTAGTGACGAGGTTTAAGTCATGTGATACTCACTAGCCAAAAATAACTTGTGCAATAAATCACAAGACTGGCAACAGAAAGAGATTACAGAAACAACAATAATAATATTTCACACTTGCACGAAAGAAACCTTGTGCTCGCACGACGAAGTCCTCATGCCACAATACCAATCACACTCGTGCAGAAGAAACCTCTTGCTCAGACGGCAAAGACCTGGTATCACAATACCAATCACACTCGCATGGAAGAAATCTCGTGCTCACACGACAAAGACCTCATGCCACAATACAAATCACACTCGCACGGATGAAACCTCATGCTTGCATGGTAAAGACCTCGTACCAATACCCAAATAATTCGCTCAGCATGTTCACATGTGCCACAAATCACAAACAATAATGCCAAAACTTTTTTCACGAATAGGAGTTCATAATTTATCAATAAGTGCACAAGAACAGGTAAAAATAGTAAAGTGTGTATATGTATGTAACAAATAAAGCATTTCTACATCTAAAAACAAGTGTATTGATCATACTCACATAGCCAAAAGTGATTAAACATGGTTCATATAAAATACATCCTCAAATCAAGGCATATTAATAGCTTAAGATCTATTTCGATTACAAACAACACATAGCACCCGTGTACACGCTCATCACCTCTTATACGCGTCGTTTTCCACACAACACAAATAAGCAATTACAACCAAATCCTAAGGGGTATTCTTCCGCACAAGGTTAGGCAAGATACTTATCTCAAATAAGCAAAATCAATACTCCAAAAAATCCTTGCCTCTCGAATCGGCCTCCAAACAAGTCGAATCTTACAAAAAATAGCTCAATAATATCAAACACGGCTATAGAAATCGATTTAATTAATAAATCTCTGATCTTTAACAAAAATCAAAAAGTTAACCAAAAAGTCAACCTGGGTCCGTATCCTGAACACGATAAAACTCATAAATTCCAAACACAATTCGAATATGAGTCCAACTATACCAATTTTATTCCAAATCGACTTCGAATTGGGGTTCAAATCCCCATTTTTCATTTTAGAAAAAGTTTACCAAAATTCATAATTTTCTTCACTTAGATTTATCATTCAAATACTAAAATCAAGATTGGAATCATGAGTAATAACCAAATCCGAGTTAAAATACTTATCCCAATCCAAATCGTAAAATTCCCTCCAAAATTACCTAAAATCGAGCTCTTAATCTCAAAATATGGTAAAATAACTCAACCCCTCGAAATGGAGTATTTTAATGAGTCTGCTTAGTGATTTCCGCTTCTGCGATCCCAAGATAGCATTTGCGACGCCACATCTATGGAAATGCCTCGCAGATGCGGAATCCACTAAAGTTCCAGCCCTTCGCTCTACGGCCAAGACACCGCTTCTGCAATGTCGCTTTTGCGATCCCTCTTGTGCACATGTGCTGTCACTTTTGCAACATGAACACAACAATTGCGGACACCCTTAAGCTCAGCCAATTTGGCATTTGCGGTCCCAGGTCCGCTTCTGCGGACTCGCCCCTACGGACCAAATATCGCAAGTGTGAAAGCACCAGAACTGATCACCCCAAGCAACCACAAATGATCCGAAGCTCATCCGAAACTCACCCGATGCCCCGTCCAACCATACCAACCAGTCCCAAATTATAACACGGACCTACTCCATGTCTCAAATCACACAAAATAACTTAAAAATCACGAATTGTTCACCATTCAAGCCTAATGATCTATTTCAAATTTCCATCTTTCGAACTCACGCCGAACATGTCTAAACAACTCAGAATGACCCCAAATTTTATACACAAATCATAAATCACCATACGAACCTATTCCCAGGCTTGGAATCACAAAAGGACATGGATAGCCACAAGGTCAACTATGGATCAAACCTAAGAACTTCTAAGCCTTATAACTTTCAATTTTTGCCAATTAGAGTCAAAACAACTTAGGAACCTCCGAATCCAAATCCGAACATATGCCTAAGGCCAAAATTACCATCTGGACCTGACAAAACTATCAAAACTTCGATCTGAGGTCAACTATACAAAATCAAAGTTCGATCAAACTTCACAACTTAAGCTTCCAACCTTGGGACTAAGTGTCTCAATTTAATTCAAAACTACCTCGAAATCAAACCAATCGCCCTCGCAAGTCGCATAACGTTGAATACACGTGTAAAGCATTAAATAGAAAAAATGGGGTTAAAATAATCAAAACGAATGTCCGGTGTTTACAATACGATTTCAAGTCCGAGTTGGAAAATTATGTAAAAGTTGGAGAATATGAGAATTTTTGAAAAATTATTAAGAAATTTTAAAAAGTATTCTTGTTTTAAGACATTTTTAATCCTTATTGTGAAAAAGAAAAAAAAAAGTTTCTTTAGATTCATTTTTATTTTTTTGTCCTTTTTTGGTCTTTAGATCTCCTACAAAATGACGGAGAAAAAACTAGATAAGGCACGGTTTGGAGAATCAAATTCGTGACTTTTCGTTGGCAAAATATTCAGCGATCCCAACTTGTTTGTAAAGTGGTGTGTCATTATAATTTTTTTTTTTTTGAAATACATTAAAACCATATATGATACTATAAATTAAGTTCTTAGAGTCGTTTCCTTTTCTCCATTAATTCATCTCAATGAATATGCTGTCACATCCCAAAGCTGG